TGCCTCCGCAAATCACAATAACACTATCATATGGAAAGACAGAAAGGTGCCAACTACTTGCGCTTGTGCTTGTACATTTCCAGTTGCAGTTAACAGATGAGATGTGTAAGAAATGCGTTGGGAAGAACAATAAGAGACACGAGTCTAAAAGAAAAGCTAACAGCAATTGTAGGCACAGTGCCGGTAAATGATTTCACCGAACATCAGAGAATCGAATGGTTTGGTCATCTGGTCACAATGGAACAAAATTTGCCAGTATTATATGAGAACACAGGCTACAATTCAAGACGCCGACCAAGAAAGACATAAATGGAGGGGGTCACAGTGACAGTGCGGAAACACATTATGACATTACCACAAGCTACGCAACCACTCAAGAACATGACACTACAACCAGCTCGTCTCTGCGATGCTTCATGTCAGAAGAAAAAGTAGAAGAAGAAGAAGTTACGAGAGGCCTCATTGGGGGGGGGGGGGTGGCAAGAATAGACCCACTGCTTTCCCCAAGAAGCATATCCTAGAAGCCGACTAATTATGAGTATCCTTGAAGTCGGAGTTTCTGCCTCAGAGGCAAAGGATCGACTGTGTGGTCTAGAGGCATAGCGTCCGCCTCGATTGCTGGAGGTCCCGGGATCAGGTTAAGGTGAAGACTATATTTTTTTTCACCTTGGACATAGTAATTTCCTGTGGTCTCTGGGTATTAAGACCGAATGCCCATGTGTATTGTTGCGCACGCACGCAAAAATCTCTTGGCAGTTGGAAATTGAAAAGAGTTGCCCAGCGGCGCTTCCCGAGCAAAATTTAGAGTTAAAAAATATACCTAAAGTATTTCAGGATCCTTGCCGGTGCTACGAGATTCTTCAAAATCAGGCTTACCAGGCAATATTACGCTCAATAGTTTGCCATTGCCATATTCGATACCACTTCGAAGCCAATTCAAGGCGGTTCTGTTGACAAATCGCCTACAGCTAGGATCAAACCCGGCACCTCGGTTTTACGAAGCGCATTCGCAACGCCTACGCGACATACGCCGATAACCGTGTAACTCACTTATATTAGTTTAGTTCAGGGCTGTTCAATCAAGTTTACCCAGGGGGACCAAAAAATGGGGATCGCCATGTGCCAAATGACCAAGCTCCATCGTAGAAAAATCATTTTTACAGCTGACAGGGATCTGCGGGCCGCTTGCAATGCCTCTGCGGGCAACATCTGGCCCGCGGTCCGCCAGCTGAATTGCCCTGGATATTAGATAGTTAGTTGGTTGGTTTGTTAGTTAGTAAGGTAGCTAGTTAATTTTTAGCCAGCTAGTTAGTTTGTAAGGTAGTTAGTAAAGTAGTTAGTTAGTTGGCTGGTTGGTTGGTTGGATAGTTAGTTAGCAAGCTATTGAGTTATTAGCTAGTTACTTAGTGATTAACCGACTATCCTTATCGCACCAGTCCAAATACTCTCGGATCTCATCTTCAGATCTCTCTCAGCGTGTGAACATGCTGTCAGAGTTGGGGTAGGAAAGGATCACTCTGTATCCGCTTACAGCACGACAAAACTACGGCAACTGTAACCAGAAATGTGGGTCACCTTTTCAGAAATCCCGAAAAACAAGCGGAAGTCTCCATGGAAAGAACTAAGCCGGAATTAATAGGGGATGTCGGCCTGGGATGTATGAACGGTGGGAACAGAGAGATAGATTTAGCGTTTGAAGGGGTCTGCTAAGTGGACGGCCTATTATAATACTCTAAGACGCTTTTCTGTTGAAGATGTATTATTTGAATAAAAGCCGTGCAAGGTATCTCTTCCGCACATTGGGGAATCTCATGGCACCTGTCGCCGTGTCGCCAGGCTCTCGCACGCTCATTGGCTGATGGATGGGACTTGGGTGTGAATTGGGCGCACGGTCTTGGGTGTGGAATATATTATTGAGCGTGGGAAACGTTAAAACATCGTACACCCCAAGGATATTTGGACACCCCTTTAAAGATTCGAACTGGTGGCGTGATTCTCAAACTGCTATAATTTGGTACCCGAATGTAAGCGCGCTTACTTGCCGGACAGGATCAGTGAGTTTAAATCAACATGGGGTCAGTGCTGGATTTAGGCATAATCTAACTAAGCTACTAGTGTCAGTCAAACATGCTTGGTGTTATCTTTCTATTGGGGTAAACAAGGCAGGTCGAGGGGGATCTTGATGCATGGGCGGCATTTGATCTGTACAAACTGCCCAGGCTTTGTGCTATGGATAGGATAAGCTTCATTCCTGGCCGCAGTAAGTCTCGGATTATAAGTCCTTATCAGTTGGCGTAGAGGAGGGCGCCACGGGTTGCCTCTGACAGACATCTTCGAATGTCACTTATGTGATTGCAGAAAGGGTAAGAGCTGAGCGTCTAAAAAGAAACAGACTAAACACACATTTTGACAAAATCGGTTCCAAAATCCCATGCTATAATTGTGGAAGAATTTTTTTCTCAAACGCGGGTGGGTCTTGCTAGTCACACTCGCGACACCCATCGGCTGTGAGTCCGATGCCTCCTCATAGCTCTTCTTCTTCTTCTTCTTCTCTTCCACCTTGTACCTCATCTAAGTGTCGGGGGAAGATTTAATGTTCGTTGCTGATGTTCATTTCTGTAAGGCTGTTCTTAATGCCATCACTACATATTTTCTGAGGTCTTCCACTCGCACTATACCCATGGCTCGCTGTGGCAGATAGTACCAGGGCATTCTTGTTAGGTGTCCAAAGCACTTCATTTGTTGTTCTTTGGTGACTGTGAGACTGGCTTTACTTTTAGCATTCGTCTGATTTCACGATTTCGTATTCTGTCTTTCCTTGAAACTCCTGCAGCTCTTCTAAGGCATTTCATCTTTGTTGTCACAGTAAATAGCTCAATGTGACATTATCGTCTGGAAAAACTAAGCTACAAATTAGAGTTCGAGAAAAAAAAATCACAAGTTTTCTGTTAATATATTTTAAATGCAATTTCCGTTTAATATATTGTATGTTAAAAATTATCGGCATTTAGCATCATGTGCACACAAAGGGACATGTGTCACAGCAGATTTACTGTTGGCATAATCAGTGAATTTAGGGAATCAAGGCTTATATATTTTCTATATAACGTAGATCCTTTGATAGTATAGATTATATGGTCTAATTTTTTTTACTTTTGCTAACACGATATAAAGTGGGGGAAACATGGATGACTGCAGTCAAGCTAATACCAAGGAATTTTAGTAAACGGTGACTAAAAAGCTTACTGAAACGGGGAGGCAGAAAAAAGTGCACAAAACAACACAAGTCAACGTTTCGCCCGGGGACCTTTCTCAGCATGAAATGAACCGTTACCTTTGGTTACCACTGTATAGTTCATTTCAATTTGAGAAAGGCCCCCAGGCCGAAACGTCGATTTATGTTGTTTTGTGCACTTTTTTCTGTCTCCCCATTTTATTAATAATTTTAGTCACAGTTTACTGGAATTCCTTTCTATAAATTTTTCATATATTTGAAAGGCGTATATATTTAAATGTTTTATGAGTTTAGCAGGTGTAATTCAAAACGACAGGGGTCTCATGGCCTTACACTTGGCGCTTCACTAAGTCTAAATCCAGCCCTGATTAGGGTGCATTTTTTTAAAAAACAAATTGTATTTTGGCGGTATGCAAGGCAGTGCAGTACTGTCATGTTTTTGTTTCTGGGTTCATATTTTTCTGCGCTGTTGTAATAGACACATTGTGGCGAGTAAAAGTAAAACGATAAAGGGCCCCTTTCAACGTCTTACGGCGTATTGGGCATATAGGGTTAGAAAAGAGACTCCCCTGCTGCAGAATGGCAGTATCTTTTCTCTGCGTCGACCATTGGTCCATCGATCATCACAGTTTAAGAACCACTTGACTGGCTCATAATGTCAGCAACAAAAGCTGCACTTACCCACCTAGTGAGCTGAATGGGGCGTGATGTCACGCACGCGCGACTCACTGACGCTACATTGAACCGACAGTGCCAGGTTCCTTTCTCGCTAGCGATCCAGGTTCCAAGTACACTGGTTTCTGCAGCGTGTCGATGGCGTCATTTGGGCCTAGTTGTATGGCATTTAGTGTGCCTATAGTAAGCCTTTTTTAAATGTTGCCTCGTGCAGGCTTTGATTTACGTTATATCTTCTTTGTCGTCTGCTGATGTATGTGAGGTGTTTTTACCTTAGGCAGGTGTTGATTCAGCAGTTGCCGGCTTGGCAGGCATCTTTCGGTCTTTCAAGACGACAGCGTTACAGTTGCCAGCAAATGGTGAACTCTCGAAGAACCGATCTATTCACCATGAGTTTCAATGTTTCTGGTTACACGGTATTCTTCCCTCATTTCATGTTGTCCCATCCAGTTGTATTACCCTATTCTGTCCGAGTTATTACTTCAAGTCTTCTGTCTTGTAATATCGAGATGAGATGACTGCAGTCAAGTTTGTGTTTTGTTTCTAGTTGTTGTTCTGCTGATGAAGACTAATCACCACAACGTCCTCTGTTCGTAAGCTTTTTAGCTGGCGGCCCGCGGGCCAAATCTGGTTCAAGGAGACCTATCAAGTTTCCCGCGGATCATTGCCAGGTGTATTGTATTAATGATCTTTCTATGCTGTGGATCGGGTCTCTGGTCCGCGTGGGTCTCCATTTTCAACATTTTGCCCCCACCCCCCACCCCCAAGTAAACTTGATTGAACTGCCCTGGTGTAGTAGCTAGACGGTCACATGCGGATCAGAAGGTCGTGGATTCAAATCCGAACGGAGCCGGACTTTTGTTTCGTCAAAAATTACTTTGGCTCCCAGGTTGACCCAGCCTTAAATAGGTACGAGGTAAAGTCCAGGGAAGTAAAGGCGACCACTGTGATGTTGATCATATCACCTACCGAGAGCCAATTGATCTATAGAATATAAGTCTACCTCTATAAACCCAAAACGCACGAAGACGTGGTAAAATAACCTTTGACTTGTTATGGATTCTGTAATATGTGATTCTGTTTATTTCAGATGCGGAGACAGTTATATGGGCGAGTACTGTCAGGATGACAACCCTTGTAGAAACGATTTTTGCATGAACGAAGCCAAATGTGAGGTTCGAGTGCACGACAACGGGGAAGCCAAGGCGGTCTGCCACTGTCCTGTTGGTAAGTCAGCTGAGGTTTATATGATTGTATTTTGGTGGTGATGATACAAACTATAATTATATGCTTGTTTAAATACGACTGTTAGTCTTGAGCTTTGTGAGAAAACTAAACAACTTCCAGTGAATCAGAAGATGAGGAAAAGACGCTGGCGTTGACAGGACGCATACTAAGAAAACCTGAGAACAGACTTGAAGGGCTTTAAACTGGAACCCACAAGGATCATCATCACCATAAACCACTTCTGCCGTTAAGTGACGTGGGGAGGAATAATTTGCGATCCAGTACAAGTTGGCTGCCACTGGCTATTGTCTGAATTTTCGCTTGAAGTCATTAGTTTGTTGAAGGCGCTCGTTTGTTGTCGTTTCCTTGCTATCGAAAACTGGTTTGCTCGTCTCGTGTATAATGTGAGCAATGATTGAATGACGCTTCCACAAATTTATGGAAATAAACGTAGACAAGAAAAATTACATGGGGAAGGGAACTAGGGAGTCACATTTTTGAGACGGGGAGGACATGGGGAATGAGCTGCCTGCGATAGCACAGGATAGTACGACTTGAGGGGAATTTGTTGCGGGCCTATGCTCCATTGGGGGATACAGGGAAGAAGAAGAATAAAAGTGTATGCAATTTTCGCCTTTTCGTGAACTATTAAATGTAAAATGTTTTTATGTTTAATATTCTTTAATTATTAAACGTAATATAATTTAAAACTAACCTTAATATAATTAGCTGTGTGTGTGTGTGTGTGTGTGTGTGTGTGTGTGTGTGTGTGCGCGTGCTAAACTGTTATATTCAATATATCTCTATATTTAATATTGTCATGTTCAATCAACTTTCTTAGTGTAAGTAGTTTTAGGGAGCCGCTTTAGGGCAGTCGATAGGAGACTCGCCTTCAAATCCAGCTGCGATTCGCTGCAGCCCACGGCCGGTGTTCGAAACCTGGCGGTTCCCGGGGTTTACCCAGCCTCTAGGAAATGGGTACCAGAGTTAACACTCTGGGGTAAATGGAGGAACGTCGCTGTAGCTACGGAGTTTCGTGCGGACGGGGACACAGGTGGACAGTTTCTTATCAGCTGTCTGTACTGGTGGAAGAGCACTTATGGTTTATAACTGTGTGCAGTGACGCTGGTTCACATCTCCCAACTTACTTTTACCTTTTTAGTGTAAGTAGTTGAAATATTTAATATTTCATAGAATTTACTTTACTCTATAGAAGGCTAAAAGTGTGTATATCATATGTTTTCCCAGTCCTCACTTAACTGATTGGAAGACCAGGAGTGCATGCATGGAATCCTCACCCACCCCTCACCCCCTCCCTCTCCAAACCCGTATTTAATCCTGTTTGTATTTATTACTTTATAGAAGACCAATAGTAGCTATGAGCGACTCAATCTCTTAAATTGTTCAATAATTTTCCGTCCTTTTCAGGATGAAATTTTTCGTTATTTGAAGCCCTACTCTGGCTCTTGCCAGGGGCCGCAATATAACCTGGCCATAAATATGGCCTAAAGGCTGAACGCGGTTTCTGAGACCTCTCCACGGTGATCCTCACCCACATGGTGGCACATTGTGTCATCGGGTGTTTATCGCTTGTGTGATGTCCTGGTGGGGTAGAAAGTCAGCCAGTCAGTCCAATAGTTAAAGTACGACCGTGTCTCTTTTCTCTCTACATTATGGAAGGCTGATGGCCTATTTTTGATCATGATTTTCAGATTTCATGTTATTCTGTTTAAGACTATACTCACACTATATATATATATATATATATATATATATATATATATATATATATATATATATATATATATATATATATATATATATATATATGAGATGGTGTTTTCCCAGGTTTCAAAGGAATTATCTGTGATATCGTGGACGAGAGCAGCGCCTGTTATCGGAACCCATGTCTCAACGGTGGGAAGTGTCTCATTGGGAAGACATTGAACGACTTCTCCTGTCGCTGTCTCGTTGGATACAGGGGTGAGAACTTCCGACAGTACACCAAACCTACTTATGGCTGTGCTTTTATTTAAATTTCCATAAGGAGGAGTGTTGGTGGTGAGACGTTTTGTAGTGGGAGGTTTTAGCCAGTCAGAAATTGTAGTCAATCAGAAGTCATAGCCAATGAAAGGTTGTGTTAATGAGACATTTTGGTAATGGAATCTACAACTGAAAATTATCAGTAATGATAAAACTGACTAGTGATATTATTATTATTATTAATATTATTTTTATTATTGTTGTTATTGTTATTATTATTATTATTATTATTATTATTATTATTATTATTATTATTATTATTATTATTATTATTATTATTATTATTATTATTATTATTATTATTATTATTACTACTACTG